CACACACACACACGCACACACACACGCATGCACGCACGCGCACACACACACACACACACACACACACACACACACACACACAGAGCACGGACTGCTAAAACGACAGCGCCTTCCCCCTAGTAGAATGAACGTCCATTATCAGTACCTGGCCCACTACGGGTAAAACGAAAATACATAGGGCCTGGTAAAATTTGGCAAGTAGCGGGACATTTTGCAAATATTGCCGTGTTCCGGTAGGGGTATTTTGCAGAGATGGCAGGTCCAACCGATGCCAGGGCCATTTCGCCAAACAATTTTTGGGTCAGAGGGGTATTCCGCTCTACCCACATTAAGGGCATTTCGTCATATATCTCAACTTATAGGGGTATTTCACAAATTATCCCTTTTTTTATTACACCGTGGGAACCAGCGTCCCTTACAACGTTTCGCATAACTTGAAGGGCTCTTCTTCCACCCCGGGGCCAAGTTCCATTTTTCGGGGGACCCGGGTGCATGAAGTTGGCCCCAAGGTCGATGGTTCCTATCTTGTTGGTCATGGATTCTCTCTTTTTTTTTTTCTTACAAACAACGTTTTATTTAAATCCAGGAAAAGAGCCCGGTGTCCCTTACAAAAGTTAATCAGTGGGTCCCCCTCCGAGAAAGGCATCATTGGCCATAGTCAGAGGGAGCCCACCAGGACAGCTTCGTCGTGTACAACAATTCCTACTTTCCACATTTTCCTTTTTTTTTTTTTTTTTTTTTTAAGTACTACCTTCTTCACCGTACTGTCATTATTGCTGTATTTAGACGGAAAGATACCCCAAATACAGCTATAATGATCGTACGTTGTATTCAGGTGAAGAAGGTAGTACCGCCCAGCCTGAATTTCAATGCGCTTCAAGTTTTGCTGAGCCTGGGGCCTCGGCCCACTAGCATCGCTTTACGCTTGCGCTCCTCCGTTTTCTATCACGTGCGACCGTCCGTGACATCCATCAGTCGTTGATCAAGTAGCGTATAGACTGCTAGTGTCTATTGTCTTTGTTTTCGTGGAGGCAGCTGCCCATCGGCCAGTAGATTTTTTTTTAATTCATTTGTTGGCCATTTAGTTGGCCACTTTGCGTTGGCGCCAAGCTTCAATATTATGGATTTTTTGCGGGGGGGGTGTTTTTGAAGCTTTGCGCCTTGCTATTTTTTTTTTGCAGAAATGGAGAATATTGCCATTTCCGTGGAAGACTGCGAACAGGCCGGTGAAAAGCTCGCATGCAGATGTACCGGGTTGGTGGAAGTGTGGATGCATAGGGTGTACTGTCATGATGTCGATGCCAGGTCCCGTGATTTTTTGTTTTCTGGGTCGTTTATGTGTTTTTAAATGAGAAAAGAACGCCATACACCGTTTTAAACGATGCTAGTCAGTCGAGGCCCCTGGGGTCTGGTCCCACCTGCGGCCGTTGAGTCTAGATTCCTCAACGGTGTGACACCCCAAAAGCATTAAATAAATCTGAAAAATGCATTTCAGGCATTTTTCGTGAAAATCATAGATCATGCCGGCCGTAAGAAATGAAGTGGAAACATGGTGGTGGTGATGCGGGGTTCACCCTCGCTTCTAACGCAGGACGCTGAATCTTACCGGGTTCAGCACCACGTGCAACGCGATGTTATTATATGGGTCTTGCTCCGGAAAAAAAAACGGAAACATACACCCACAAAGTGACTGACACGCATGGCGGTTACGTTTTTTTTTTCCCTCGCAAAGCGACTGACACACTCCCCGACAAACGGGGAACGGCGCGCGGTGAAAAATTATGTACCTAAAATGCTAAATCATACATTCAGCACGTTGAGATATCTACCCTCGACCGTGGAGGGTAGCTTTCTCAACTCCGTGGCGGTTG